TGGATTGCTTCATAATGCGGTGCTTAACCCCTTGCACCACCATGGAAGCCCAACATTTTGTTAAATTATACTCCTACAAAGAATACACTTGAGCTGATTTTGATCCTTGACTCAACAAGGGCCATGTTATATTTCACTCCACACCTCCATGTACCCCATCCTCAAAATCGTGCTGCATAAACATTATTGGATGTTTCTATCAACAATATCCTCATTTTCTTAACCCTAAAGTCATAGCAAGTTCACTCTGTCTTTTGATTACCAGCTAGCTGCGTCTAGCTGCGTCTCTGAGCAAACATATTCCATGCTAATTTGTGTTTATTTAAAATTTCAAAGAAATTCCCACATGGATTCCAGATGTTGACCATTTAAAGCAAAAAGGTGTTTCCTCATTATACAAATATGATCCGTGTCCAAAATATTGGCAATGTTTAGTTTATGAATCACTTAAAATAACTCCGTCACAAAAAACAATGGTTCACGTGTGAGTCATAAATTAAACAATGCCAATTTTTTGATGTACACCACATTTGTATAATAAGGAAACACCTTCTTAGATTAAATGGTCAACATCTGGAATCCATGTGAGGTCTTTAAAAATTAGTGTTGCGTTTTCTTAAATTTTCCCAGTGTAGAAAGAAATCCAAAATAGAGGCAATTTTTGCAAAAAAAAATACTCTGCCTCAAATATTCTTGTAAGTCATGCATTGTTTAGTTGGTACAAAAGCTTAAATGAAAGAAATATGTCAAATTCTATTCTGAGGACCGCTAAGTCTATTTTGTTTGTTCTAGATCTTTGACTATGATGTTGTAGAATAATGTTATGAGTTAAAGAGTGGTCCTAAAAAGTTAAGTCCGTACCATAATCCCTTGACACATAAATATGAATTTATTTGAGAAAAGGGCAGATGAAATTAAGTGAAGTGTCCAAACTCTGAGGTGGCTCTAAACTCAATGACAGGTGTTCCTATGAGAAAGGCAGAGGGACAGTAGAGATATGGAAGCACCTTGGAAATCTGTAAGTAGAAATTAAGAGTCACACAGCCCCAAGCCAAAGAACTCCTGGTAAACTAGAATTTGGAGGAGGCAGCTTTGAAGATCTTTAAAGGGAGCACAGATCTGAGATCTTCATTTTGTATGTCTGGCCTCCCATACCTGTGAGAGTACCAATTTCTGTTGTTTTAAGCAACCGGGTTTGTGTTCATCTGTTAAGGCAGCTCTAGGACACTACAATGAAAATTCAAAATAAAAATACTAGATATGAATTTATTATATCACTGTGTTTGATTCAAATTTGGCATGCCTAAAGTCCTAAATATTTAATCCTCAAATAGCATCAAGTGATTGATAGTTCTGCTTTGGGTTTCCTCCATGCCTTTTAACCCTGGAATCTTCTGATCCCAAAGGAAACTTTCCATCATTTTTGTCATCCAAGCAATTTTGAGAGAATATGCATAGTTGTGAGCCCTTGAATATTCTAGACTCCATATACAAAGCAATCTTATCATGTCAGCTTTCAAAATGATAACAGATCCCAGATACCACCACTTTGCTTAACCTCTGCCTATGTTGTGGGAAAGAACACATACTCAGAAAATCTGGGTAACCTATCAGTGTTACTGAAAGCACACTCAGTGAACTGGACTGTTACCCTATTCCAGTAAGTTTGCTGCTGGTTATATAGTGAAATTCAAGTATGGTTACTCCTTGGATTTTTAATAGATGGGGTATGTTTTTATATAAACTTCATGGTAGTTTTTGGATGAAGCTCTCTATTTGCCTTGTTTGTTATTCAATCATATTCAATGCAACAAAAACATAAGGCCAAACTTCGCCAATTTTCTTTTTTTTTATTTACTTATTTTGTGTGTTTGTGGAAAAACAGGAGTGCAGGCCAGAGGTGCGGGGTTGAGAGGATTCACCAGAAACAGAGTGGGGAGCAGACAGGCAGACTGACTAAAATACACTGCTATGGGGAGCAGCAGGCAAGACAGGAGAGGTCTGCTGTGCCCTGTGGGTCAACTCCCTGGCTGGGGATCGACCTCAGGCCATTGCGATGATAGCACTGAGACTCAACCTCTGAGCCACCAAGGAGGTTCCAAACTTCCCCAGTTTTCATTCTAAGTTTTGCCTTTGCTCAGATTTCATTTAATTAAAATAATACACTTCAGATTGTTTTTCTTCAGTATATCTGATAGTACAGGGACCCACTGTCATTCTTTCCATGACCTGTCATTCTCCTTGTTCCACCCCCTGTCCGCCTCAAGAAATAAAAGTTACCATGAAATATTACATAGCCATCATAGTTTCAAAGAATTTTTAATGGCACGGGGAAATGTTCTTTGTATAAAGTTGAGGGGGGAAAAAAAGGATAAACTGAATATACATTATGATCCAAATTTGTTGAGACACATTTATATATACATACATTCAAAATGAACATTTTTCACAAGTTAAATTAGCTATCTCCAGATGGTGGCATTACACATTAATTTTTCTGTGTTAGCTCTATTTTCAAATGGTTCTTTATAATGAGCATGTAAAACTTTTACAACCAAAAATAATAATGGAATGGAACCCAACTAATAGCTAGAAGCTAAGAACCATCTCTGGGGGGCTAGTATTTCATCCTTAAGGTAGCTGCTTATTTCAGGAATGGTTTATAAAGGATATAAATTAATTCAGCAAGATTTTCCTTATACAGTCAAGAATCTTCATCACTCAGATTCTCTCCCACTTTACGTTCTTTGCTTTATTTTTTTCTCTCACCCACCAGCTATATAGGTTCATTTGAAGCTAAAAAGGTGGAAAGAGCAAAGTGAAGAGTAAGGCACATTCTGAACCAAAGAGAGTTGCTGAGTTTTTCCTTGGGACTCTTTCTAACTCCTCTTGTGACTGTGGTAGCCTGAATGGAGGAAAGAGAGCACAGAAAACTAGCAACTCCCATTCCCAAAAAAGTGTTTTTCTGAAGATGAGAGTACTTAATAACCCTTCCACTACAAATAAAGAGATGATATTTTATTTTTATTTTTTTAAAGATTTATTTATTTATGCATACAAAAGCTGGGGTACAGGCCAGAGATACGGGGGTGACAGGATTCACCAGAGACAGAGTGGGGAACAGAACAGGCAGACTGACTGAAATACACTGCTGAGGGGAGCAGCAGGAGAGACAAGAGAGGTCTGCTGCATCATGTGGGTTGCTCCCTGGTGGGCCAGAGATCAAACTTGTGCTGCAGAGGCTGCGGATTGCTTCATAGTGTGGTGCTTACACCCTTGTGCCACCAGGGAGGCCCAAGAGATGATATCTTAGAGAATGTTAGAAAATTACTTATCCCCAAAGACACTGGATCCAGTCACTGGTATGGAATATTTCAGGTGTTTAACAAGAAGACTAAATTTTAAGCTTCTTGAGGCTAAATTCTCCCTCATATTTGTTTAGAGTCTAGGACAGGATCTCACACACAGTGTCCAAGAAGAGGGTGAAATCTAGAAAGAAAAAAAATATTTCTGTGGGTTTTATATGACTGTGTTGTGTCTCACAAGCTTACAGACCCAGTGGAATCAGTCTTGTATTAATGACCAAGAGCTTGATGAAATCACTGGTCATCAAAGGATGAGCAATGGGACAAGTGGCGGAGGTTGGAGCTTTTCAAAGAATGTATGAAGAAGGGGGAGAAAGAACATATCTGGCTTGGACAGCATAACTAATGATGATTTAATATTTGGAAAAGTGAAAAACATGTATATAACAATTCTTAGAGGTGAAGTGCAAGGTGTGAATGCTGAGAAACGTGGATGAAATTTAACACCCACATCAGAACACACACCCCCCAACAGGTGAAAGGGATGTCATATTCATGCATATGGATTTTTTTTAAAAGTTTGAGAACCACTGTACTTAATCATTGGGTTGTTCAAATTATCTTATTAAAAAGGAAAGAGTTATCCTTTAGACAGCAGTGAGCATGACTTTCGCTGTCTCTAGAACTAAGTGTTCAATCCCAACTGTATATACTTCCTACCCTTTATATTTACCTTTATAAAATATTTATCTTTCTAAAAGCTTAGGGGATGATGCTCACCATTTGTTTTCTTTTAATCTACTTGTGATCCATTTAACAATTTTCTTAACATGTTAAATACTCCTAAGCATCTATGGGTCTGGTACTTACAAAAGCAGACAATATACTACAATGTGATCACATGGACAAAAAGAGTCTGCATATACTGCATATACTACTATGTGATCACATAGACAAAAGGAGTCTGGAAAACCCACATGTGTACACTGTAGCTGGAGGAGGGAGAGCAGAGCAGAAATTGAAGAAGAGAAACCCTCGGATAATGAGTTCATTGTTTCTCACCACCAAACCAGGTGAGTGAAGGCACAAATAAGCATGTCTGTGTACAGTGTGTGTACATGTTTGTGTGTGTGTGTTTCCTGAGTACACCTAACATATCCACCCAAAGTGTACTCTTGGCAACCTCAACACATCGCCGAGTGGAAATCAATTAAAAGACTGATCTGTATATTTGCACATCAGGCTAAACTTAAAGGAAGCCTCTCCTGGTGTCAGAGCCCTTGGGGAAGAACATTCAAGGAAGTACTTATCTTTATTCTACAACCTGGATAATCAAGTAGCCGTGAAATAGGCCATTTGGTTTTTTTTTTTTTTTTTTTTTTTTTTTTTTAATTTTCTAGAGGCATGTCTTATTTATTTATTTATTTATTGTTTGTTTTTTGATACATGCACTGGGTACAGTCAGAAGCGTGGGAGGGTGAGAGAATTCGCCAGAGCCAGAGCGGGGAGCAGAGCAGGCAGAAGGACCCAAGTACACTGCTGAGGGGAGCAGCGGGCGGCAGGAGAGGTCTGCGCGCCATGTGGGACCCTCCTCTGGTGGCCGGGGAGCAGCCGGGGATCGAACCGGCTGCAGAGGCTGCAGGCAGCTTCGCAACCCAGCGCTCAACCGCTGCGCCACCGGGGAGGCCCGGCCATTTGGTTTTTAAGTTATTCTCAAGAAACAGTGACCACTGGTAAGCATTTCATGGCTTTAGCAGGGTGTGATCAAAAAATACTTTTCCACCTCACAATTAAATCCTATGGAACTATTCTCTCTATACTTTGCAATTCTTTACCTGAACTTTAAAATAAAATAGAGAGAATACTAAAGGGAAAACCATTCTCTAAGTAAGACATTGTAAGTACAATGTGCTTCTGAATTGCTTTAATAAATCTCACTACAATCTCTTAAACATCTCTGGGACAGTGAATCCTTTAGAGGAAAAATACATTCCAAAGTGGTAATGTGCTCCCAAATGGGGGGTGAGATTTCAAGATTTGAAACTTGAATGCCAGGGCCAGAGTCCATTTGTTAATGTCCTAGTCTTGGATAATTGCCCTAACCTAACCACAGCCTCAGGTGCTGTGGGGGTCATAGAAATCCTGGAAGTAATAACTCCTCCCTCATAAAGGTTACTGTCAAGCAGATTAAATGAGATAATCCAATCACAGTCTCCAGCACTCAGAAAGGACCCAAAGACGTAAATGAGGTTAACATTACACAAAGAAAAGAAACCATGTACTATTAATCATTTTCAGACAGGTTTTAAAATTTGAATTAATATCAATTGATCCCTGCCACTATTCCCCACAAGGAAGGCACTTCGACAAACTTCTGAGATGATTTTTAGGATTTCATGATAAAGATACAGGCTAGCAATTCAAATTCCATTTATACAAAATAATTTCCTGGCTAAAACTGTCACTTCTGAGAATGGCACCTTTTCTAACCCTAAACCCTCAAAGTCTACAGCTAAGAACATAAGCAAATTAGAAGCCACTTTCTTTATGTAGCTTTCGAACAAAATTCCACAGCATGAACTTCTAATGTTTCTTGTCCATAGATTAATAATAACCTAATTCAAAACCACATCATTTCCTTTTTCTGCTTCATTTCCTTCAAAGTGAAACATATTTTTTTCTTGGACCAGGAATAAAAATTTCTAGATTAACTCAGCAAATTGTTACCAGAAATGCAATTTTATGATAATACTATGTCAGGGTAGTCAAAAACCAGAAAACATCTGTGTGGTGTTTGTTAATACATAAAAATAACCTAATATATATAAGGTATACCACCTAAGTGGAAAATTGACTATATTACTAGTAGTGCAAGCAGAAATTACTATAGATTCCATCATTACTGTGTTTTGAAGTCCATTTGGGACCATTTTAAGAACTGTGACACTTCTTTAATCTTGGCCAGAGGTCAGAAACTGCTTGGCACAGAAACTTTATTTGGCCAACACAGTATCTTAAAAATTATTAAATGTCTTCAGGTGGGTCATGCCCTCTATTTACCCAACAGGCCCTTATAGGCATTTTATTTCTCAAACCTTGTCTAAAAAGGCCCACGCTTACAGAGAAGAAACCATCAATTAAATGGGTAACTTCTTATAGCCTAATCAAGTCCAAAGACAGGACAATTAAGATACTAACAGTTGCACTCAGAATTTCTTCTGACTTGTTTATTTAATTTAAATATATACTTTCAGTGTATTTCTGTAACAGTAGCTCATTTGATTAAGGTTGCTGAATTGAGTTGTTCAAATTCATTCACAGGTGGTAGAGAAGGAAACAAGAAAATAGAGTTTTAAGAAATACAATGTATGAAAATTTGGACAAATTTTTCCATTATTTTCAAAAATTAATAACATTTGGTCAATGGTTTATTTTTCTTTATATAAAAGGTGAAAGTTCACTCAATGCAATATTCAATGTAATATTTAAAGAGGAACTAATTTCCACTAATGCATTTTGATGAATACTTACACACACACACACACACACACACACAGAGAGATAGAGACACATACATACTCATACTTGGAGCAAGGACTGAACCAACTATTATTTTCATTTTTTTCAGTTCCACTGTACCTACTGGTAGATTCTAGTCAACTGACAAATTATGAGTCTGGGACCCAAATAAGAGAACACTGGAGAAGGTTTCCTAAAGCATTAGTTCAGGCATCCCCCCAAAGGTGTTAGGTTTTAGGCACTGATGAAGCACAAGCTAGCTGGCTTTAGAGTCCAAAAATTAGTTCAGAGGTTTTTTTTAAATTATTGCAGAGGAATCCTTCCATTCAAACAGCCCCTGTAAGTAAACCCTTTCCTCCCACTTCTTCATCAGGACATGAATACAAGGCACCTGGTAGTAAATCAGCTTCAGCAGATGTTGCCTCTGAACTCCCCTGGATTAGTCTCTCTGAAGGTTCTGGCGAATTCTCTCTCCATCTTGGACTTGACTGCTGTTGGGAGATTTCCCAGAGAGAAGGACACGGAGAAGGGAAACCCAGAGCAGGTCGCACGAGTGGGTCCTCTTGAAGGCCTACTTCTTGGATACACCTGTTGGAAAGCACTTCCTTTTCTTTGGAGTTCCGCCATTTCATCCTTCTGTTCTGAAACCAAATTTTCACCTATTGATAAAAATGAGTGGACAAAATGATCGTTTATTCCATTGACAAAGTCCTTGTGCCTTGTTTGCATGAGTTTCTTAAAAAATATATGAGAAATGGCCAACAGGCATATGAAAAAATGTTCAACATCACTTGTAATCAGGGAAATGCAAATCAAAACTACCATGAGATACCATCTTACACCAGTGAGAATGGCACATATTAAAAAAACTAGCAACAACCAATGTTTTGCGAGGGTGTGGAGAAAAAGGAACTCTTCTGCACTGTTGGTGAGATTGCAAACTGGTCCAACCACTATGGAGAGTTGTGTGGAGATTTCTTGACCTACTAAACATAGAGCTTCCATATGATCCAGCAATTCCACTCCTAGGTATTTACCCAAAGGACACAGAAACATCAATTTCAAAGAGCACCTGCACCGCTATGTTTATAGCAGCACTGTTTACAATAGCTAAGCTTTGGAAACAACCCATATGCCCAAAAATAGATGACTGGATCAAGAAGATGTGGTACATATACACTATGGAATATTACTCAGCATTCAAAAAAGATAAACACATGCAATTTGCAGCAACATGGATGGAGTTGGAAGGGATCATGCTCAGCGAAATAAACCAGAAAGAAAAAGAAAAATACTGGATGGTCTCACTCGTAGCAGGAATCTAGAAAACTTAAAGGGACCAGGAAAAAGAATAACTATAAGAAAGTAAAAATCAAAATCAACAAACAGCTATGAACCAGAGACACTCTATGGGGGATGGGGGGTGAGGAAAGGAGAGATTGGAGTCAAAATAAGGGGGTTGTAATTGTATGGGGAACATAAAAATAAAATTTAAATTAAAAAAATTAAATATATATATATATATGAGAAATTACTTTAGCATAATATCCCACACTCACATGACTGCAGTAAATTGGTTACATCCCATTCAGAGGTCAGTCATGCATTACCTGGATTATTAATTTGATCCTCACAATGACTATAGGAAGTTCTCACTTCACAAGTAAGTAAACTGAAGTTCAGAAAGATAAACCAATTTGAGGTGGCTTTGCCAGTAAAACAGAACCTCTTAGAAAATGCCCGCCACTGTCTGACTCCCAAGTCCAGGCTCTCAGAGACTTGCAGGCCTCATCAGGAGCTTTTTTGATACTAAATTAAGAATATATTTTATTTTTTAATTATTATTTTTAAGATTTATTTTTTTATTTATTTATGCATACAAGAACTGGGGTATAGGCCAGAGGTACGGAGGTAAGAAGATTCCCCAGAGACAGAGTGGGGGGCAGAACAGGCAGACTGACTGAAACACACTGCTGAGAGGAGCAGCGGTGAGATAGGAGAGGTCTGCTGCGCCATATGGGTCAGCTCCCTGGCCAGGGATTGAACTCATGGTGCAGTGGCTGGTGATAGCTTGATAGCACTGAGGCTTTAACCCCTGCACCACCAGGAAAGCTCTAAATTTTAACATGAGAGATTGCCCCCATCTCAGATTGCCACTATCGTGCACCCACCACCAAATCACCCATTGTCCACAACCACAGTCCATTTTTCCCTCTTACCCCTCACCCACCCCCTACATATTATGTTTTGATAACTGTAGATTATAAGTTTCCTATTTTAATTACTCCACAAATTTATTAAACTTGAAAAATGAAGCTCAATAAATAATTGCAAAAAAAAGTTATGCCAAAAATTCTTATGATGGTAGTTCCAAATTTGAGCCAAACCTTTCTTCTACCTCATCTCACTGGAGCCTCTCTTTATTATTAACCTCCTCCTTTACCTACACATGCCTAAGCAGAAAAGCTTCCAGTAGACTTTCCGAATCTCTTAAAAGCCAATCACTTTGTTTTCCTGTTCAGTACATTGCATCCTTTCATGAACAACTAAGTTGATTTCAATTTTTAAAACAAAAACTAGAAAATTTTTGCCTAAAGAAATAAGTATTAAAGTGTATCATCCAAGTATTCCTGCAAGGAAAGAATTCTACCTGAGATTATCTCTTCTGATTGGCAGAACAATTTCTTCTTTTTGTCAACTTGATTGGCAATGTTCAAAATAGCCAAAAATGAAACCTTGGCCAGGTAACTGATTCCAAGACTTCCATCTAAGCTACAATCCTGTGATTAAGGTTTTTCAGGAGAAAACAGGACCAAAGTGTACATATCAGGGCATTTGATCTCATTCATAAACCCAGTTTTTATTTGCAGTGGGCATTTACTCCCAGAAACCCTGCCATGTATTTAAATGGGTTTTCACTATGATAAATATTGTTCCCATTAGAGATTCATCATATGTTGTTTTCTTTATCCCTTAGTTTTTCTGCATATCTGGGAATATTTGTTAAATGGTATCTCAATGAAAAAACAATCACAGGGGCCTCCCTGGTGGTGCAAGGGGTTAAGCACCGCACTATGAAGCGATCCGCAGCCTCTGCAGCACGAGATCGATCCCCAGCCAGCCAGGGAGCAACCCACATGGCACAGCAGACCTCTCCTCAGTCGCCTGCTGCTCCCCTCAGCAGTGTATTTCAGTTAATCTGCCTGTTCTGTTCCCCACTCTGTCTCTGGTGAATCCTCTCATCCACCGTGCATCTCTGGCCTGTACCCCAGCTCTTGTATGCATAAATAAATAAATCTTTAAAAAAAGAAAAGAAAAGACAATCACAAAACTCTTCACAATCAATGGTGTTGGTACAAATGTACAATATTTGGGGGAAACATAAAACATTCAATCTCTCAACAAATAAGATTGATTAATGGATTAAGCAGCTAAACAAAAAAGCAAAACTATAAAATTTCAAGAAGAAAATATAAGTGATTATCATGATAGTCTCAGGGAGAGGAATGTTTTCTTAAACAAGAAAAAACATACTGAGGTGATAAAGCAAAAGTTGAACAGAGCTGGTTACATAAAAATACAATAAACATAGGGAAAATTCACAAACTACCCAAAAGAATTGCACACCATGTTCATAGCAGTATTAGTCACAACAGCCAAAGAATGATACAAAATCCAAGTGTCCACTGATGGATATACGGAAAACAAAATGTGATCTATACATGCAATGGAATTTTGTTCAGCCCTTAAAAAGGAGTAGTTTTTGATACATGGTACAACATGGATATATTTGAAGACATTATGCTAAGTGAAAAAAGTCAGGCACAAAATGGCCAATACATTCATGAGGTACTAACAAGCATGCAAATTCACAGAGGCAGAATGTAAAATGGGAGAAACAGGAGGGAAGAATTGTTTCAGTTTTGCAAGATGAAAAAAATTTTGGAGCCAGGGGGTGGTGATGGGTGATGGGTGGACAACAATGGTGATGGGAAGGGAATTTAATGCAACTAAATAAATTATACACTTAAAAGACGGTTATAATAGTAAATTTTGTGATATGTATATTTATCAAAACTTTTAAAAAAAAGCTAAATTAACAACAAAACTTAGAAAACTGATTATAGAACTGTGATTACCACAAGGGGAAGGGGAGAAGGGGCAGGAACTATGGGGGTAGACTGTGGGTATTTTGGTGGTAGGTATAGTGTAGTAATAACACCTGAAATGGGCAATCCTATACTTCTAAACACACAAATAATGATATAAACCAATATTAACTCAATTTAAAAACCCAAACTTGTAAAAAAAACATTTCAACCGCTGTAAGAGGGAAATGTTATGAAGCATAATATTCTGAATATTTCTATCAACAGTTGAAATAATTGCTACATATCACTAAAAAGACATGAGGTGCAACCATGAACAGACCAATTCACAGATTAAAAATTGTCAGAAAAACAATTAAAAGATCCTTAAGTACTAGTAATTAGGAAAATTCAGATCAAAAAAATAACACATAGCATTGCCAGTGAGGTTGGCAACATTTTTAAAAGTTAAAAATCATGGAGTAAGAAATTTGATGTCATCCAATATCTTAATACAAAATTATATTTGAAGGAGAATTTTTTAATCTTTCAGAGTTTAAAATGTATATAATCTTGAACATATAAATCCCACCTCTCGTTCCCTATTTTTGCAGAAATGTTTTTAAAGTGGATAAAGATATCTAATAGTGAAAATTAGAAGTAAAGCTGACGATGGCTAGATGAACTTGATTCATATATATTTTATATCATGTCATATATATATTATATCATATATGCATCTGATGGTCTCTCAGAAGAGACTGAAGAATGAAGCAGACATGTATGCATTGACATGAAAAAACAGATCCCATGACATTTGAATGGGGTGGGAAGGAAGGCAAAATGACATTGATGATCAGCAGCATTATTCATAACAGCCCAAAACCAGGAACAACAAATGCCCATCAGAAGTAGAAAGGGTCAACTGCAGCATGCCAAGAATGGAATACTATACAACAATGAGTACAGAGGAGCTACTGCTACACACAACAGCATGAATGAACCCCACAAACAGAATGCTAAGTAAAAGAAGTCATAGATCAAATAATATGTACTGAAGTATCCTATGCATAAGGTACCCTATGCATAAGGTACAAACACAGGCAAAACTAATCTACACTGTTTGAAGTCAGGAGCACGGACAACCTCATAAGGATCAGGTAGTGACTAGAAGGGCTTGTGGGGCTTTCTGGCCCAGTGGTAACATGCTCCTGATTCATCTGTGTCTTGGTTGTCCAAGAGATTTGTACTGTCCTTCAGAGAAGTCAAGATTTATGCAGGGGTCTCCCTGGTGGCACAAGGGGTTATGACATAACCTATGAACTGAACACAGCCACTACAGCACAAGTTCGATCCCCAGCCAGAGAGGTGACCCACATGGCGCAGCAGACCTCTCCTGTCTCTCCTGTCTCGCCTGCTGCTCCCCTCAGCAGTGTATTTCAGTCGATCTGCCTGTTCTGTTGCCACTCTGTCTCTGGTGAATCCTCTCACCCCCCAAAACTCTGGCTTGTATCCCAGCTCTTGTGTGCATAAATAAATAAATCTTTAAAAAAAAAAAAGATTTATGTAGGTATGATCTTGTTTTTATTTAATGTATGCATAAAATTTTATGTATTTTTTAAGAGGTTTTTTTTTTTTTTGCCTAGAAGAACTGGGGTGTAGGCCAGAGGTGCAGGGTTGAGAGTACTCACTAGAAACAGAGTGGGGAGCAGAAGAGGCAGACTGACTGAAATCTACTGCTGCGGGGAGACAGGAGAAGTCTGCTGCGCCATGTGGGTCAGCTCCCTAACCAGGGATCAAACTCAGGCCAGAGAGGTGATAGCACTAAGACTTCAACCGCTAGGCCACCAGGGAGGCCCTAATGTATATATACAATTTAGGTCTCGTTTTTTCATTCATAAACTAGGGCTACTCAAACAAATTACTTTATGAGGTCATTGTAACAATAAATGACATCAACTATTGAGGCACATCGTTGTCACTTATTCAGGTTCTGCATTATAAATTGATGCATATACAACACATGTAAAAATTAATTTAAAAATAATGTGTTATATTCAAACAAATTTAGACAAGAGTCATTGATAAATGACAGTAGTAACCAGAAGATGGGTTAGGAGAGGAGTAGATGAGTTTGCATTTTAACTTTACTTATTTCCCTTTGTTTGAATTTATCATAATAGGTACTATAATTAACATAATTGTCTAAGTAGATGCATATATGCAAATAAGGAAATATTACATTACTTCTGAGATAGCCCACCAAATTCAGTAAGATAAAAAGCATCCACTCCTGAAGGACTTGAATTTTAAAAATAATATAATCAACGATAAAAAATATGTGTCAGTGGGCCACAGCTGGAAGAGAACACACAAATAGGAAAAGAGTTGGTTTTCTCTGGGGAGGAGAGATAATTAACAGCACCTCACAAATATTTTCTTTAATATGTTCTTAAGTTTTCTTTTCAATCCTATTTTTAAGAAGCCAGTATGTACTATCTCAGTTTCTCAGGGCACCATCAGACCAAAGCTAGCCACTTCCATCTTTTAACATTTACCTCAAATTCTGACTCAGCTAGAAGCCCCTAAACTTGCATATTTTCTCCCCTCTTACTCTGGAGCTTTCTATTATACCAATCAGATGTAGACCAGGCTACTGAATTCCCAAACGGTCCTTACTCAGACCAAATATTCCTCTGAGGGTCAGACAGTCCACTGCTGGACTCCCACAAGGGCCAGTCACACAGGCTGTCCCTTCTAGGCTCCAGAGAGACCACTTGATTATTTGGCAGTATATCTAACCTGCTAAGGGATGTCTCCTATATTACTTTCTCCTATTATCTAACTGTTCATAAGTTCTTGCTTTGTTTTCCAAATGGCTGTGTAAACTCCTGAGGTGCAAGGAGTGTACCTTAATTAGTATTTATCACTATTTTCTCTTACTGTGAAACAGCACAGGGTCTTGGAAATAACAGACAAACATGGCATAGCTACCGATATTTCTGTCATACGTATAAAACTGCTCTGTGACACACACAGAAGTCTGATATTTGTCCTTGTTTCTGAGTGAGAAGCTGGCCACACCCTACAGTGCTTCCGATGACTCAAAAAAGTTGGGAGTGGGGCCTCCCTGGTGGCCTAGGGCTTAAGTCTCAGCACTATCACTACAATGGCCTGACTTCGATCCCAGCCAGGGAGCTGACCCATACAGGGCGCAGCAGACCTCTCCTGTCTGGCCCGCTAACCCCTTAGCAGTGGATTCAGTAGATCCACCTGTTCTGCTCCACACTGTGTCTCTGGCGAATCCTGTCACCCCTGCACCTCTGGCCTACACCCCAGTTCTTCCACATAAAAATAAATAAAATTTTAAAAAATATGGGAGTGGCGAGGATATATCCTTAATGAAAGTAAGCAAGAGTAAGGAGAGTTTCATCCAATAATAACTGGTTTCCTAAAGACCAAAGCCAGAAACCAGATCATTTTTATTGAGGGAAGAACAGAAGAAAATGATGGTTAAGACAAATCCTCAAAATAAGCCAGGCAGATGTAACCCTGCACCCTGAAAGGAGTACCTGGCGCATTTCAGCTGCCACCACCTCCCTGAGTCAAGTGCTCTTGTGCTTTGAATATGTGGACAGCTGTGGGCACCGGCTCCAAGTTAAGGGGCTCGGACCCCTGACTCTAGATGCCTGGAAGGGAGCCCAGTTCCAAGCAGCTTTGCCATGTGACAGTAGACCTCGGTTTACTTATCTATGGTTCCTTACCAATAGAAAGGGGACAACAGAGTGCTTATTTTATGTGGTGATTCTAAGAATCAAAATGCTACTACCTTATATTATCAACTATTCGTAGCAAGTCAGTCTTTAATTGCATATTCTGGACTTCCTGCAAGGCCAGAAAATCAATCAAAGTTATATAAAATATGGAGGAAGCAGGATGGAGAGCCAGGAGGAGACCTGGAGGAGGCACATGGAGCCGAGGGACGCGTGAAGAAACTGTGCTTGCCTTTTGGTCGTAGACTGGGTGACACAGATGTGGAGGCAGTAAAGAAGAGTGGAGAAGCATATCAGCCCTTTCTTTCTCCTATGTGACTTGAAAGAGGTACCTCAAGCTCTCTGACCTTCTTAGCGCCTACAAGGAATTGGACTGTTCATAATAGTCCCAACTTGTTAAGCTTGTTGGGCTAGTGGAAGAAACTGAAAGGGTCCTCACTACAAAGGGGATCTATATATAAAAAAAAAAAAATTTAAAGCAGAGGCAAATGCTATGAATGATCTCGGGAGGGAAGAAATGGAAAATTTTAGAAGTATACAAGGGGCCTCCCTGGTGGTGCAAGGGGTTAAGCACTATGAAGCAATCCGCTGCCTCTGCAGCAGGAGTTTGATCCCTGGCCAACCAGGGAGCAACCCACACGCCAAGCAGACCTCTCCTATCTCGCCTGCTGCTCCCCTCAGCAGTGTATTTCGGTTAGTCTGCCTGTTCTGTTCCCCACTCTGTCTCAGGTGAATGAATCCTCTCACACACCCCACCCCCCGCATCTCTGGCCTGTACCCCAACTCTTGTATGCATAAATAAATAAATCTTAAAAATAAATAAATCTTTAAAAAAAAACAAAGTTATATAAAATACGAATGTACAAGTAAAAATTCTAACAAACATGAAAATATTGAACCGTAGTGTAAAATAATGAAATTTTATTATGAGAGCTAATGACTCACTCATTCCTGCCCTGATTTTGGATTGGCAATGAAAGAAAGACAGGAAAATTGATTCTTGTTGTATAAGGAATTATGTGACCTGCTCTCTGCATACAAAACAAAAATTGAATGATATAAAGGCCATCTCCTAAGTGTTTCTCTTCATCTGGGAAGAATTAGTCCAATGGTAAAAACCTAGACCCCTCAGTAAATATATCTAAGTAGGAATTGTGACATATATTTCCACCTACTAAAAAAATAAGAAAACCATTTCAACCACGCTGCAGGGAGGGCCCAGCACCCTGCCTAGTACAATTTGCCAAATGATTGCAATTCATGACATCCTGTTAGAAACATCCTGTTAGAAATCAGGACCCTCAGACATCTTTCTGCTATTAGTACCTGCGATTCCTTTAGTCCCAAGGTGATGGCAAGTTTCTTTCGGTCTGTTTTGCTGATGTATTTCTGCTTCTGGAACATTCTCTCCAGAGCCTTCCTCTGGTCCTCAGAAAAGACAGCTCTTCTCAAAATACCCCTCCGAGCTTTGGAATGAGAGTCCGGTGAAAGGAGGGGCAGCGTGCTCTCTTCTCCTAGGGGGAAATAAGACACAGAAGCTTGTGTTAGGGGGCCTACCTGGTGGTGCAAGGTGTTAAGCACCACACTTTGAAGCAATCCACAGCCTCTGCAGCACAAGTTCAATCCCCAGCCGGCCAGGGCCAGGGAGCTACCCACATGGCACAGCAGACCTCTCCTGACTCGCCCGCTGCTCCCCCCAGCAGTGTATTTCAGTCAGTCTGCCTGTTCTGTTCCCCACTCTGCCTCTGGTGAATCCTCTCACCCCCCCCCAATATCTCTGGCCTGTACCCCAGCTCTTGTATGCAAAAATAAATAAATCTTAAAAAAAAAAAAAGAAGCTTGTGTTAGGGAGAGAAGGGTTCCCGCTTTCCCAGGTGAGCGCCTACCACCTTCCCTAGGCCCAGATAGCTCATTTCTCTACATGAGAGGTACACAGGTCATCCACCCAACGTGGTTTGCTACTTTGGAAAGTACACATTTCCAGATCACAGAGCCCCAGTGCAGAGCAAGGAGTGAGGTGGTTTAAGCACTTCATTTTTTTCCTAATTCCTCCATTATCTATTCATTCATTTATTTTTAAAACATGTATAATAAAAATAAGTCTAGCACTCTGTTCAAATGCCCAAAATAGATGACTGGATCAAGAAGATGTGGTACATATACACAATGGAATATTACTCAGCAATCAAAAAAGATAAACACATGCAATTTGCAGCAACATGATGGCGCTGGAAGGGATCGTGCTCAGCGAAATAAGCCAGAAAGAAAAAGAAAAATACCGGATGGTCTCACTCATTGCAGGAATCTAGAAAACTTAAATAAGGGACCAGGAAAAAGAATAACTATAAGAAAGTAAAAATCAAAATCAACAAACAACTATGAACCAGAGACACTCTATGGGGGGTGGGGGGCTGGGAGGGGAGGGATTGGGTCAAAATAAGGGTGTTGCAATTGTATGGGGAATATAAAAATAAAATTTATAATAAAAAAATAAATAAATAAAAATGAGAGAAATTAAAAAAAAAAAAAAAACAGGAAGACTGATTCCAAAACAAATGCTCTTAATGCTACAAAATACAACATGTGACTTGTATTTTAGAAAGAAAATGTTAACAAATGAATAAATCTTGTCAATCATCCTAAAATATGATAGCTCTCTTTCAGATTTGTCTAAAAGATTATCAACACTTCCCCACTAGTCACCTGGTCTTCATTCCAGTTCAGCCTCACATTAACATTTCACCAAATTGATAAAACATAATTTGCTCATGTATTTTTTTGCCTTTGGATATTTCATTTTTTCCACTAATTTTTGATACATACAGCTGTGATAATGGTAGCATGTATTATTTACAAATTTAGAATGCCAGAACCAGGAAAAAGACAAAAGTTGCAGGCAATCATAGATCTGAGGCATATAGCAGGGGAGAGGGAGGGACAGCGGGTCAAAACAGGGGAGGGAATAGCACAAGAGACTGTGGTGATGGGTCAGGGAGCTGTAGTGTTTATCCTCCCAGTATTGTAATATTCACATCGCCTTATAAATGCCACAGAAAAACAACCTAAGTGCCTCCAAAAAAGAGAAGAGGATCAAGAAGATGTGGTCTATATACACAATGGAATACTACTCAGCAATCAAAAAGATAAACTCATACCATTTGTGACAATATGGTTGGAGATGGAAGGTAATGAGCTAAGTGAACTAATCTAGGAAGAGAAAGTTAAATACCAGGGGGTGTCACTTATATGTGGAATACAGAGTAACCAAACAAAGGGGGAGATAAAAAAACAACACTTGAAACCTGACCATAGAACTGAGACATCAGAGGGGGAGGGGTGAGGACAGGCTGGGGAGCTAGCACAATGGACTATGGTGGAGACTGTGGTTGCTTTGGTGGTGGGTTTGCTAAGGTAACTACACCTGAAGGAGAAGATCCTATACTTGCATAATACTAACAATGATGTAAACCAATGCTACTTCAATAAAAAAATAAATTTAAGAAAAAATGCCATAGCCCTTGGGATGTAATCAAGCCCAAATTTTACAATGTCTACTTTCACTGATGTCCTCACCCTTCATCCTCTCATGGGATCTTGGTTGTTTCTTTTTTTTTAATAAAAATTTATTTATTTATGCATACAAGAACTGGGGTACAGGCCATAGGTGTGGGTGTAAGAGAATTCACCAGAGACAGAGTGGGGAACAGAACAGGCAGATTGACTGAAATCCACTGCTGAGGGGAGCAGCAGGCGAGTCAGGAGAGGTCTGCTGTGCCATGTGGGTTGCTCCCTGGCTGGCCAGGGATCGACTGTGCTACAGAGGCTGCGGATAGCTTCACAGTGTGGTGCTTAACCCCTTGCGCTACTAGGGAGGCCCAATCTTGGTTATTTCTCCATATACAGCATCACTTATTTTTGCCTGTCTCATAGCTTGTTTTAAAGCTATTATCATGAAGTCAGGTTTTGCAATTGGAGTTACTACTGATGAAAGATTAAGCAGTTTGATGGAATATTAGCCAATGATAAAAAAAAATTTCTGAATCTCTTTCTTTTTCTAAATTCTTCTCTGAACTCTCCATGGTATAGAAAATTGGCCCTTCTGCATTATTTCAGAGCAGAGACTCATGTGTTGTGATGATGAAGCCTCAAGACAAAGGACTCTGGAGTATGGAAGACCTGGATCTGCACCTCGCCACTTACCTATGTGACTTGGAACAAGTTACACCGTCTCTGAGTTCTGGGATCAGTGCTCTAAGGATTTGTTGGAACTGAACAAGAAAATTTTAGTGCCTAGACCACAGTAAGGATCCACAAATCCACTTTATTTCCCCTTGTTGTATATCATTTGATTCTCACAATAATCATATGCCACAGAAATGCCCTACAGATAAAGAGGTATACAGGGCAGTTAAGGTCCAAAGCCACGCAGAGGAGGGAGTAGACTAGGGGAGGGGGCATCTAACTGCAAAGCTACGCAAGGACACAGAGCTCAGCTGGGAGCAAAGACTTCTGAATCCAAATTCTTGGCTCCTTCCTCTGCACCACAGTGATTCTTTACTCAGGCATGACTGGTCAAGAATGGGGAGGGAGAAACATTTATTAACACAGCTAGAGCCCCTGTCTGTGACTACAGCCTTCTCCACCCTGCCCTGGATTAGTACGGGAGCCTGGATACCTGGGAGAACCTGGCAAGGGTGTGCTGAAACTTCGGGATGTACTTCTTGCTTCATAGTTTGATTGCGGCATTCTTTTTTAATATTTATTATTTTTTTTATTTTCTTACACTGTTGTTCATTTATTGTACAGTTATTGGTTTCTCCCTTCAAGTGTAGTCCCTTTATTTCTCCCACCACCATAGCACCCTGACCCATCACACAGTCCCTTAGGCTCTTCCCTCCCCTGTTTTGACCGGCTCTCCCTCCCCCTCCCCTGCTATATGCCTCAGATCTATGATTTCCTGCAAGTTTTGATTTTTCCTGGTTCTGGCATTCTAAATTTGTAAATAGTACATGCTACCTTTATCAAAGCTGTATGTATCAAAAATTAGGGGAAAAAATGAAATATCCAAAGGCAAAAAAATACATGAGCAAATTATGTTTTATCTATTTGGCGAAATGTTAATGAATCATTAAAGCTGTGGCAACAGCAAAGAAAATATATTAAAATACACATGATATATAAGATACATTGTATGCTTGCAATTCAATAAAAATGCAAAGAAAAAGGACCAAAAAGGCAAAAGCAAACATTAAGCTAAGCGATTGCTGTAGCCTAGCTGTTATGGACAAATCATTCATCTTCACTGTGCATTTTAAGTCTCATTCTATTTGCTAAGGAAAATAAGCAAACATTGTTGGAAGTGTTTGAGGATAATCTGGATAATTATCGCTGAGAGACAATGCAAGATTAATTCAGTTCATCCTCCCAGAGTACACAGTTGATAAGAAACAGTCCAAGTTTTCTTACACAGAGAGCCACAGTTCAGAGAGAGAAAGATGGGTAGACCACAGCACTGCAAGCATTTCAGCACCACACAAGAAGCCACATATTCCTGAAGATCCAGAGAGTAGATGTTGAGAGAAGCAGCTCAAACAATAGTGATTTTTCTCGCCGGTCATCTAGACAAAGGCAGGCAGAGCCACGGGACTGGCATTTGCAAATGTATTCACTGGGTGAGGAATCTCACCAACTCAGTACTTCCAGTTTGAATGGGAGGAACACAAGGAATAGATGAGCTGGGAAGGCAGATCAGAGCTGGGGTGACTGAAACAAACTTAGGTGATGACAGGTCTCATAGAGAGAAACCTTTCAAGGATGAGCTGAGCAATTCAGCATTTTGGAAAGCCTGATATTCTCTGAACTAATAAGAATTATATCCATATAGAAATGCAAAATAAATTCATGGACCTGTAAACTCAGACAAGAAAAAAATACAGGGCCTTCCTGGTGGCCTAGGATTTAGTCTCAGTACTTTCATCACCGTGGCTTGAGTTTGATCCCTGCCAGGGAGCTGACCCATATGGCACAGCAGACCTCTGCTGCAGTGGATTTCAGTCGATCGGCCTGTTCCACTCCCAACTCTGTCTCTGGTGAACCCTCTCAACTGCCCCACCTCTGGCCTACACCCCAGTTCTTGTATGCATAAATAAATAAATAATTATTACCAGTGTGGTAACTGCTAATATTTGGGGGTCATGGTCCCAAACAAGGCCTCAACCTCTGATGGGGAGACCTGGAAGGGCTGTGAGGTTCAGAGAGTTACCTCCTGGGTCTGGCCCAGGAGGTTTCTGCACCTAATCACAAGCCCCAGTACACCCGAAGGACAAAGACAAGCTACAACAATGACAATATCTTCTTCTTTCTTGCCTTGTAGCTTTCTTATTTCTCCGAGTGCTGCTTTCAATACACATATCCTGCTCCTTTTCAAGAAGCCATGTCCTCGGGCACCTCCAAGAAGCTGTCCCAGGGTCTCCCTGGTGGCCTAGAGGTTAAGTCTCAGCACTATCACTGCTAT